CAGCAGCAGCAGCAGCACAAGCAGCAGCAGCAGCAGCACAAGCAGCAGCAGCAGCAGCAGCAGCAGCAGCAGCAAACAAGCAGCAGCAGCAGCCACCACCACCACCACCACCACAACAACAACAACAGCAATAGCAGCAGCCAGGTGTTTCTTCTCAGGTGTGACAATCATGTCACAGTCACCACTGCCCTGCGCCATTGGTGCCGAAGGAAGCAGCAAGGAGCTCTAGCTCACAGATGCTTCAAAACCCCAAAAGAAATACAAGCACAAGCAGCACAAGCAGCAGCAGCAGCAGCAGCAGCAGCAGCAGACAAGCAGCACACAAGCATGCAAGCTGCACATGGCAAGCAGCACACAAGCATACAAACATACAAGCAGCAGGAGGATATGGTGGTCCTAGGCGAGGCCCGGGCGAGGTCCAGGCGAGGTCCAAGGCAGTACATCCCAGCCCAAGCACCATGCCAAGCCCAGAAGCACCCAAGCTCCAAAGTGCGCATGGCCACATGCCTAAGATCCAAAGTGCACACAGCAGCACCCTGCAGCGGCACCAGCACCCAAGCTCTCAAGCGCACACAGCAGCGGCACTCTGCAACGCGCCAGCACCCAAGCTCCCCAGCACACCCTGCGGCGGCACCAGCGCCCAAGCTCGAGCACGCAAACACGCAGCTCTTCCTACACTGGAACAACAGCGGCACCCTTCAGCGGCACCAGCACCCACGCTCGAAAACGCACACACGCAGCTCCTTGAAGTAAGAACCCTAATAGCTCACGCTGTCTGTTGAAAAAACACGATGCAATGATGCAACAAGGTTGTTGAATCTATCACACAAGCAAGCAACGCATGGGCACAGCACATTAACATCAGTTCGTAGAACAAATAGAACAACAACAAACATCCATAGAAAAGCCAATCCCAATGGGCACACCATTTTGATACGACTTTCCTCCAGTTGATACGACTTAAAGCGAGGCCCCAGTAGCATTGAAAGAAAGGTTAGCTAGATCATTTGCATGTCGCATGTTCTCAAAACAGCATGGAATCATGAAACCGATGCGACTTCCCGAAGACCTTTCGACGCAAGTAACGGCAACATTTAGCGCAAACCGATGCGACTAATCTATCTGAGAGTAGCACCAATGGGACAAAAGGCCTATATGGATCCACCCTCTGAAGTATATGGCGATTGGAGACAAAAGGCATATACAGATTAGCATGGAGGGTCCAGCGTTGCTGGCACCATTCGCGTGCGTTGCGGAGAGATGAGCGTCGTGCCCGGCGAGGGGCAGCCTGTAATCTAGCCAGCCTCCCTGTCGCTGCCTCGGCTTTCCAGGAGATACTGTAACATGGTCCATGCATCTCCATTGAAAGCTTTTTGCAGAGTTCCCGCAACCAATCTTGAGTGACACTCCAATCCTCAGCCTCATAGGCAATTGTTGCTTCAATTGGCATTAACTCAAGAATACACCCCTTCGTAACCCTGATTTGGTCAAGATCTACACCAGGTCAAATTATCCAGACTGTCGAATGTGGAGGTGCTTCTGTGCTATTGCTATTCCAATTGCCTTTTGCAAGCTGGTGAGCAGCTTCTATCATCGCCCAAGAATTCAGAACTCGCAATGCAACCAAGTCACCCTGGACTTGTGGGACAAACAGCCTTCTAATGGCTCGTGGTTGGATTGACATCAAAAAGGTTGTTCCTTCCCCATAGCCAAATGTATGTTGAGCAAACTTCGACTGGGGCCTCCCTTGGATGCACATCCAAGCAATTCAACACATCTGGCACTTGATCTCCTTTCAAGCCATTTGCAAAGAAGCAGTGAGTGCATCTCTTTGCTTTTGCTTTTTGGACGCTCTAAGCACCGAGCAAAACATCCAGGTCATCGTCGCCTTCCACTTTCACAAGCCCATCCTCCCTCTTGGCGACATCAAAATCGTAGATGATTAGCAACGCCACCGTTCTAAATTGCCAAGTGAAGCAATCCATTGATTGCTGTGTTGTCCACATTTCCGCTCTGGTGGAGAGCATATGCAATCATCTCGACATACCTTCCCAGTAGTTTCCTTTTCTCATGTGGTTTTCTATGGTGGATTGTGTTGTGCAACTTCATTCATCCTCACCGCCTCACCTGCTATCACACTAGCAGCAGGAGGTAGCAGCTGTAGCGGTTCCACTAGACATCGCCTTCCTCTGATGATTCCCTTTCTCCGCGCCGATCTGGCGATCAGTTCTGGAGCGCTTCTCCAAGACAGGAACATGAGTGTGTAAATAGGGAGACCCTCAAACCAACGGGTTTTGGTCTGGGATCTGTAGGACGTCTCCCTATATTGAAAACACATCCACATGTTTTTTCAGATCGGGCTCGGATTTAATTTAGGATTGTTTATTGTTTTTGTTTGTGTTTTTGTGCTTTTCGTTTTTCGCGGCAGGCGCAGTACTTTGTGGACCTTGAAGTGCAGATTTCGTGGCAGGTGCAGGACTTTGTGGATGTTGAAGTGAAGTTTTCGTGGCAGGTGCAGGACTTTGTGGATGTTGAAGTGCAGATTTCGTGGCAGGTGCAAGACTTTTTGGGCCTTGGAGTGCAGATTTCGTGGCAAGCACAGTACTTTGTGGACCTTGAAGTGCAGATTTCGTGGCAGGTGCTAGATAGCTAGATAGATAGACAGATAGAAAGATAGACAGATAAATGGATCGATGGATAGATAGATAGATAGATAGAGACAGATAGATATAGACAGATAGACATAGACAGATAGATGGACAGGTAGACGGATTTGGGAGCCGTCGTAGCTGGCAAAATACATTGGAATAGTGTAGGTTTCAAAGAGATTCCTACCTATCACAACAGTTTGGTGCAGTTAGCAAAGAAACAGCAAAGAGAAAGAGAACTAGCACAGGAGGCATTTTTGCTTGGAAACTTTTGCACCAGGGAGTTCACCTTAAAATATTGATTTCGTGGCAGGCGCGGGTGTCGGAGATGAAGTGCAGATTTCGTGGCGCGGGTGGGGTTGGGGGGGGCAGCGCCCCCCCCAGCAGCACAACAGATCCAAAGGTGAGCAGCTCGTGCTGCCTTGCTTGCTTGCTTGCTTGCTTGCTTGCTTGCTTCCTTGTTTGGTTTCTTCTCTGCAAAGCAAACGCATGGAAAGGCAAAAGCAAAAAAAATAAAGGAGAACAGCTGCCAAAGAGAAAGAAAGAAAGACAGAAAGAACGAAATAAAGTTAGAAAGATGGATAGACAGTGACAGACAGATAGAAAGATAGATAGATATAGACAGACAGATAGATATAGACAGATAGATGGATAGGTAGACAGATTTGGGAGCTGCCGTGGCTGGCAAACAGCCAGGCATATTTACACCATATCAGTGAATGAAGACACGAAAAGCCAACAGAAGCCAGCCGAAGCCACGAAAAGGCAAAAATGCCACCGAAAGCCAAAGTCATCAAAAGCCACCAAAAGCGAAAGTAGCTGTGCCTCGGACTTCACATTCCTCCAAAGATGGACTAGTAGCAAACAGCCAGAAGCCACGAAAGCAACGAAAGCCAAACGCCACAAAAGCCACAGAAGCCACGGAAGCCACGAAAGCCAAAAGCCACAGAAGCCACGGAAGCCACAAAAGCCACGGAAGCCACAAAAGCCAAAAGCCACCAGAAACAAAAAAATACTAAAAAAGGTCAAACAATATCCTAAAATAAATGGCCCTCCTTGCAGATCGATGGTGTGGCCTTGTTCCGGTCGCGCTGTTGGAACATACGCTTTGCCATTGATTTTTATTATTTATGTTCTTAACACAACAGATGCGCATTGTGCATGTACGTGACTGTGCGTCTTTCAACGGCAATGAGATTCTTCTCTGATTTCATCTTCATGCTTTCTCTGCAGCATCCTGCCCACCTAGGGGTACACGGCTCATTTTGGAACCTAGAAACGGCTCATTTTGGAACCTGGCTCATTTTGGAACCCAGACGAAAAGAAAACTCTCCGGGACTGCATGCAGCGTGAGACCAATTTCGCGGCTCATTTGGAACACGCATCATTCGGTAGTGCTTCGAAGGTAGCATTTTGCTAGTGAAAATGAGCGTTTCGTACGAGACTTCCTCCAAAAGTGAGCCGCGGAAGTCTCCAGAACGAGCGTTTTGTGCGAGAC